TGGTTTGGTTTTACTAATTAAATATTATAAGCAATTATTCGATTCAATTTAAATGATCATGTATACATGAAGGATCTATTTTGGTGTATTTTCAGATTTTAAGAAATAATGATGCTTTGAAATCAACATATTTTCTGTTATCTGTTTATTTTTTAATATTAGTTGATTTCACAGAACTAATATTACATGTAGCAACTACATCTTATACATGTGCCAAAAAATCAGCTTGAACAAACCTTGAACAAATATTCCAATCCAAACATTACCGATCAGCTTATCTGATTAACACAGATAAGTGTATTGTTTTGAGGGGTGTTGTGTTTGGCAATACCACCACTGATTTATGCAAATAATTATTATATTTTATATACATGTACTTGGAGGGAAAAATATATTCTGAAATTAATTTGTCCTTATGGTGTACCTACTGTACACATTAACTTATTGAACTATTTGTGTAAGCAATAGCATTGGTAGTAATTAGTACGGTAGACCTGCATGTATATTTTCATGCAAAATAATCATATTGTTCTCTATACTTCTAGATCAGGTGATTTTACTATAAATATAAATAATATATGCCATTCATTGATCACTTTTATACACTGACGTACATTTGAGCGTAAATTTCTATTAGAACACCTGTGACAGGTTTTACTGATGTTTTAAACAACAGGCTTGTGGTATACCATCAACCTACACATCTACATCAAATACATAATCCATCATTTATAATATATAAATATAAAAATAGAATGCTAAAAAACATAAGCTTATGCATCAATAATTATGAAATAATTCAACTTTATTCACAATATGTTACATTTATTTACACGTCTTATTTAATGTAACTAGGCTTGGCTCAAATATCACTATATGGTTATCAGGTTTGTTCAGTTGAAGGACAATATGAAAATATTTTAATCAATGTGGAACAAATTTCCCAAAAGGGCAGAATGATCACAACCAGGCATTTATTTGTCTTGGGTCATACATTTATGCCATCCATGTACATGTATGAGCAATTAACCATATTTCATATTCTGTAGCATGTACGTTTTGCATATAAGTACATGTGGAAGTACAATTATTGAATTTATTTCTCTTCTTCTGTCAATTAGATACATGCTACATGTACTTCAACCCCCTTTCTGGCTTGTTACATGTATTTTCTACATCTCTGTATACCAACACATTGATTATCGAAAGGAATCGTCAAAGTTGACAAACAGAATGTGAATTGACGAACTTTCGGAAGGACAGGGACACAGAAAAATATACGTCCATATGAAAATGTGGGCGTATAAAAATAATTCAAAAAAGAGATGTAAAAATAGGTTGCCAGGCAATGAAACATACACCCACAGCAGCTAAGTCGTCTGGGCAGTCAACAAGGGTTGTCGGACATATTTTTTTCTTCTGTCAGTAATGAAAACATTTATAACACACTAAAATCTGACTATAACAACTCATTTGTAATTATCAGAAATCATTAGAATTTTTGGGGGCTTCTACTTCTGCCCCATGCTAACATTTAGTACTAAAAACATTTGATATCATGAAAATCACAAGATCTTAAATTCTGCGAATAAATTTAAAATCAATAGAATGATAACTTTGGCCTTTTGAGCATCCGTATGATTTTTCAAAGTATATTATTGGAAATCCTTAAAAATCAATAGTCAATTGGATATTAATTTTAGCCTCCACAGGATTTTTCAAAGTAATCAAGGGTCATAGCTCTGGCAGTAATGATCGGAAATTGTTGAAAATCAATATGCTTAAACATTGTGTTTAAATTTAAAGTCAATTGTATATTCACTTCAGCCTCTACAGTGTCCACAAATAATTGAGTATGCTGGACCGAGGAACATGTACGTACGGACCGACAGGGGCGATGATAATATACGACCACATTTCAATTAAATTAAAAAAATTAAAACACTAAGAAATTGCTGGTATCTAGTCATGTTTTTCACACCCGGAAAATCGTAAGTGTATAACCAATTTAGGGCTGAAACGACATGCCGTGCCACGATATGATACAGTATCATGTCATAGCCCAACGATTCCGGAGCATCACGATCCTTCATCGTTTTTATGGAAAAATCACGGTGCAACAGTTGACCGGTGAATTGTTTCAGCTCTATTAACATGCTATAAAATCGTTATCGTACAGCCATGTTTTTCATGCTAGGAAATCAGTAGCATTACATAACATGTAAGTATTTCCAGCACACGCTAACAGTAGGGTTGCGTACATAACTAACATACGAAAATTAATTGGTGGCTAGCTTTTTTTTTTCGCACGTACATGTATACAGTGAATGGCCATCTTGCTCAGTAATCCCAGCCAGAATTTGGCTATTTTCTAAATTTGCGTTAAAGTTTAAAATATTTGTTTTAGAACTGAAACACATTAACTATTAGTCAATCCCAACGCTAAAAACATCAACAGAATTGATTGTGTATATCTGAAATAGACCCGACCGACGCACAAAATAGTGCAATATGGCGGCCTCTATGAACAACCCTCGCAGACGCTGTCATTGAAGACAACGTCAATTCTATGAGTTGTAGATGTTATTTTTGTGAAAAATCATTGGAAGAAGAGAGAACATCTTGGGACTGTACGAATTATATAGTCTTTATGGGTGCAACGGACACAGTGCTGAAGATAAACCTATTGTTTACAATGTTGACCTCATGACCCATTGACGTCAATGTCATGACCTGTGATGTGTAGATCACGTGATATGGATATCATGGCTATTGACTGTGTCTGAGATACTTCTCCGCAGGTAGCGTGTCTCAGATGTTCAGAATGAGTAGGGTTGGTATTCCTTAAAGTATTTCAAAATGTTTCTATATCAGTATATGTATCTACATGTACCAATGTCTTGTTCTGGCATTGATGTGTTCTACTTGCTACTGTGAAAAATAACCTAAAATATTCACGCTGAACAAATGTTTTAATGTTTTTTAATCAGTAATACATGTAGATCTTCCTTCCCATGTACACCAACCTGTGCTGCTGAAACTAAGGAACTCTTTATTGAGTTATATGCAAGATAAGTAATGTAGCACATTGTGTTATTCTACATATACTACAGGACAATAAGATAGGTTGCCAGGCAACGAAACATACGCCCACAGCAACTAAATCGTCCTGGCAGTCGACAAGGGTTGTCGCATATTTTTACTTTTTTCGGTAATGAAACATTTATAATACACTAAAATCTGATTAAGAGCAACAACTCACGAAGTAATTATCAGAAAACTATTAGAATTTGTTTGGTTTTTTATAAAGTTCTGCCCCATGCTAACATTTTGTATGCAAAGCTTTTAATATCATGGATTTAACTGTTCAAGTCATAAAAATTCATTGAAAATCAATATACTTGTTCGTCTCAAGATCTTAAACTCTGTGACACCTGTGTATCAATCTGAAGTCAATCGGATGATAACTTAAGGGCCATGACTTTGGCAGTAATTATCGGAAATCGTTGAAAATCAATAGGAATCTTCTTCTCATGACCTCAAACACTGTGTATAAATTTAAACTTAAATTTGGCCTCTAGAGCATCCACAAGATTTTTCAAAGTGATCAAGGGCCATAACTCTGGCAGCAAATATTGGAAATCGCTGAAAATCAATAGGATTCTTCGTCTCATGACCTTAAACACAGTGTATAAATTTAAAGTCAATTGAATATTAACTTTCGCTTCTAGAGCATCCACAAGATTTTTCTGAGTGATCAAGGGCCATAACTCTGGCAGTAATTATCAGAAATCGCTGAAAACCAATAGGCTTCATCATCTTATGACCTTAAACACTGTGTATAAATTTAATGTCAATCGGATGTTAACTTTAGCCTCTAGATTTTTTGAAGTGATCAAGGGCCATAACACTGGCAGTAATTATCGGAAATCGTTGAAAATCAATAGGTTTCTTCGTCTCATGTCCTTAAACATTGCGTATAAATTTAAAGTCAATTGGATATTAACTTTGGCCATTAGAGCATCCACTCTGGCAGTAATTATCGGAAATCGCTGAAAATCAATAGGCTTCTTCATCTCATGACCTTAAACACTGTGTATAAATTTAAAGTCAATCGGATATTAACTTTGGCCTTTAGAGCGTCCACAAGATTTTTTGAAGTGATCAAGGGCCATAACTCTGGCAGTAATTATCGGAAATCGCTGAAAATCAATAGGCTTCTTCGTTTCAAGACCTTAAACACTGTGTATAAATTTAAAGTCAATCAGATATCAACTTTAGCCTCTAGAGCGTCCACAAGCAATTGTGGACGCCGGATCGACGGGGGCGACGACAATATACGACCACATTTCAATGTGGGCGTATAAAAACCCCTTTACTTTGTGAATGAATACGTGTACATGTATCAAATAAATCCAGTAATTTGAAAAATAAACATTATACAGTACTACAGTAACATCTCTGTGACCTTGGAATACTCTTGCACACACCTTGTTTTTATTGCTTTAGCTAGATCGTTTATGAGGCTAAAATGAAGGTTTCTGAGTGTCGTCTGCACAAAACTGCACTCAAAATTTAACCATACTTATTCTGGTTCTCAGACTGACCTTCCAAAAATCGTATGTGGGTTGGCAGTTTTTAAGTTTTGGTTTTTGTTCTATCAAAGGATCACTGGGTTAAATGCTTGATCACAAACATTGCATTTCAAAATTGACTTCTGTTACAATACAATTAGTCTAATGTATTGCTAGTCTTAATATGAATGATGCCCATTATTTCTTTCTCATGTACATGTACATGGTAGAATGCACTTAAAAGAACTTTAAAAAGATGGCGGTTACCATTTACTGGTAACTACATGCATGCATCAATTTACGATTACCCAATGTCATTTATTAGGCGGTGCACTTACTTGGTCAGTATCTGAGAATCAGAATAAAAAAAAAATTATGATTGTATATATATGGAATTTTACCATTAATAAAGAATGCATATCTTACCAGGTCTGTGAAGAAATTCCACTGACATCGTGTTGCCGTAGATGTCTAAAAGGGCCCACAGAGGACCATTTGTGTTGACTCCATTAAAAAACAGACCCTTATCTTCACCATTCACACTGAACATAACATCACCGCTACGAGTTACGAAAAAACACATCACAGTATTTGTTTTAGCAAAACGTTCAGATAAAGCCTTAGCAAATGTTCCAGGTTTGTTTGTGAGATCAGGACATGCATATCGGGGCAGTTCTGCTGGATTATAGGTGTCCGGATTCGTTCCTGTGAACCCGAACCGTAAAACACCACTCCAGCTTGTGGATACTTCAGCAAAGTTGATATAAACTTTTTCATTGACGGCTATTGGTCTATTACTGAAGCATATGCCTTTACAAAAACTCTCAACTCTTGTGGCACGGGTCTTGTCAGCACTCAACCTCACATTTTCACCATGAACTTTATGAAAATGTAGCGGCCAGTCGGACCTCAAGGAAGAGAGATCACTGCTCCCAGTACCTGAAATATATAATCAAAATGTAATGAATAGTTATATTATTTAATGGAATAAAATTTTGTAGAAAAAAAATAGTTTGAATTAAACAAAAAATACCACAGTTAACTAACACAGCAATTTGCCATCAATGAAATATATAAATTGAAATTGAAATCCTTCAGTTGAACCCTTGCATTCATGAGCTAATGTTTTTTTGTTTTAACCACGAATGCTGGTAAGCATGGTGTATCAGTCAATGGAAACCTACATTACAAATAACTGATGTAAATAATGTGCATTACTAACATGCTTCTAAGTATTAAAGCCACCTTGCATCATTTGCATTTTCATAAGATATCAAATTTTGAAAGGCTTTATCCAGGTTAAAATTGACTCGAATTGATTACCAGGTATTTAACATTCAATAAATAAAAGAGAGAGAGAGAAAAATGGGGTTTAACGTCCACTCGACACAAACTAGGTCATTTCGGGACTAACATATGGTTCAATTTTATTTCAATTATTCGCTTGCGCGTAAGGGTCTCTAGCAGTGAGAGGAAACCGGAGGACCCGGAGGAAACCCACGAGATTGGACAGGCCACCCTACTCCTTGTCACGTACAACCGGGGAATCGAAACCACACCAGTTGACTCAATGACAGGCCTTATGATACAGCGCACGTGTTAACCATTCGGCCATCCAACCCCCCTTCAATAAATAAAACCAAATCATAATCTCACAGGTTGGACTCAATCAGGTTAATAAGAGGCCCATCAAAAGTTAAAGATGGCTCCATTGTGTTTAAAAGTGTTATCGACAATAAACAGCCTTAACCCACAAATGGTTCAAAAATTATTATCATGTCCATAAATTCATGATATTGTAGTTTGCACAGAATTAACAACACCTCACAGTTGCCAAAGAGACAATAAAAGTAAACACAACTAAAATGCAATCTTCAGCTGATGGCACCATAAATATTTCAGGTTTTTATAAATTGCTAATGAGAAGAGACTGATGTATGGGTCTTCATACATTACTGGCACTGCTAATAGAAGAGAGAGACATGAGGATTAATGTCCACCTGACACAAACTAGGTCAGTTTGGAACTAACATATGGTTGGGGTCTTTAGCAGTGGATGGAAACTGGAGGACCCGGAGAAAACCTACAAGGCTGTACAGGCGACCCTACTTCTTATCACATTCAAGACCATCTGATTTTAGGAGGACACGTTAAACAACTACATCACCCAACCCCTCCTATTGCTAATAAATAGACTAAGATTTATTTTTTCACTAAAATGTTGATTCGATTCGGTATCAAAGTCAGCAACTTGGGGCTTGACTTGGACTTGACGTGCAGTGACTTGTTCCCACCTTTGCAAAGACAGACCTTATATGATCACTCAGAGACTTACCCCTCCCCCAACCCAACCCAAGACACAAAACCCCTCACCATTAATTTAGATTGTCCTAAATGTTCCAGCCACAAAGAGACTTACCCCCCCCCCCCCAACCAAACCCAAGACACAAAACCCCTCACCATTAATTTAGATTGTCCTAAATGTTCCAGCCACAAAGGTGAAAGCTACCCTTTAAGACATTAGCCTAGTATAATAAATACCAAAAAGTGTGTTAAATGTTCATTAAAATTGTGTTAAGTCTATATAGTGTAAGTAACAATGTACCAGATGGCTTTAAATGAAAATAAACATTTGATACTGTATATACGCAATAACTTTAATATAGTTTTATTACATTAATATATAAACGTAAGACTATATTACATTCAGATAACTCAGAACTAATCGAATTTTTGTTACTTTGTAAATGTTATAACTATTGTAACTGTATCTAATACATGTATAATTTTATAACTTTTATAGAGCATTAAAAAATGTTCTCTCTCTTTACTGTAGAAAGTTACCTTGTATTCTTGCAATATTAATGCAATATGTGCCACACATTGTGATCTAAAACCATTAACAAATCAACCACACCCAATTCACAACTATTATATTACTTTATAAATTAAATTTATGAACATTTTGTTACAGTAGACAGCAGAACACATACCTGTAGATGTAAATTTTTGAAAAACAGAATAAAAATACCTTGTGCTATAGAATGATGAGTAGACTCTTCTTGAAAAATCTTCTTTTTTGTTATAGTGAGTGTGTCCGAAAACATTGACTCAAAACTAAAAATACCCATTTCCCTTTTGATTTTGTTACCAGTCACAAATATATGGAGAATGAAGCACTAGATGCACATTTTAAACTCCTTTTTCTTAAACCAGTAGTTACTTTCTGGTATTGTTACTTGTCAATGGGATAAATTCTCCTTCAAATGATCTTAATGTAAAACACAATGCTAAATCTGACCGAGGTAAAGTCGTGTTTGTGATATTCAGCACTAAATCATTGTCTAATTAATCAAGAGAACCTTCCACTGACATCTTGTACTTGATATTAAACCTATTTTAAGTCACATCCCATCATTACAGAAATTCTTAAGACAATGCTTTAGTCAGGTACGCTAGAAATGTTGAGTAATTTATGACGTCTGTTGGTCTTAAAACTACAGTGATTAACTCACAGCTTTTTTACAGGTAGAGTAGTAATCCAATATTTACAACATGCACACATATACTGAAATATCTGCCCAGTCATCCATCCTACACCATCAAAATACAAAGCCAAGCTCACTAAAAGTCACAAACGTAAGATTTCTGATAGGTTTGTTTACACCTGTAAAGCTTAATAATTCCTACTTGCTAAACATCACTTCAAATTTTCTCCTGGTTCATCAGTTCACCTTTGACCTTTGAAATACATGTATATTAGCAGGCAGCTGTAGAGTATTCTTGCAACAAGCGATTACCAGGCACTCTATGATTGCCAGAAATAGTTTCATATACTATCAGCAATAACAGTAGAAGCTCGAAGGAAGTATAAAAATAACTTTATCTGTGAATATACCTGGAAACCTAATAAAAATTGACAAGCTATCACTCCATCTAGTAAAAAGTACACTACATGTATGTACCTGTAGACCATATTTTCACCTTGATTTCACCTACATCTGTTCAAAGTCATTTTAGTCGTTAATACATAAAGTTAAATAAATCTAAGGCTGCATACATGGATACACATAATGTGGGCGATACAAAAATATGTGTACATGATGTTTTGGAAAATGTCCTCAAGAAACCCAAATTGTCAAAACATTATACCTCCAAACATAGCTACATGTATGTATTATTATTAATTTATAAAAAAAAACAACCAATTCCATCCTTTTCTTGGAGTTAAAACATGCTATTTTATGGTCATCTACAAACTTATTGAACCCTAAAAACCACCATATTTCTCAAGTACAGCATTTGATAACTCTAATTCTTAAATTATAGGCTACCAAAATAAGGTTTGTTTACTGTGTAACTATGGAAAGCTTGTTGCAGCCCTTTTTTAACTAGACTTTCATAGCTGGAAGTTGAGGGATGAGATGTCTAGAAAAGGCAAGATAGCAAGAAGTCGAGGATGAAGGAGCATATAGGTAAGATTGCGAAAAGACCACAACAGGTTTCCATAGTTAAAAGTAAGCAACATTATAGACCGATACATGTACATAAACAATGGTCATTATTGAAGAAAAACGTTACAGATCTTAAATTGTTAGAATTTCTAAATTAATATGCATATTAAACAATTAGTATGATTAAAGTCTGATTTATGACGACAAATTATTCTGACTTACATAGACTTATTACCGCTTTAACATATTCGCTTCTCTAAGTTTTATGGGTTGGGGCAATAACCCCTCATAAAATTAAAGGAGGGCTATGAATTTTCATACAGTTGATCTTAGATGAACAAAATCTGAAACACTTTGACCTATACATAAATCGCATTGTCAGTCAAACAATCTCAGCAAGTTTGAATATAAACCGTCAGAAATTCTTCACCCGTAGAACCATTACTAGATTTTGGCAACAGCAACTCAACCAAATAATCAATAATAACTCAAAACTTTAATAAAATTAAAATGGGAATTGGTGTGCTACTACACCAGGAGCACAATTCCAAGAACTGGAGACAGCAAAATATGGGTTTATCAAAATTATGTTTCATGTTATAACATATTAACTGTGGGTGGCGTCAATCTAAAAACAAATCTGTGACTATTTTCGGCTATTTAATGGAGTTAAAACAAAACTCATTTTCATAGTAATAGATATACAACTTACTGACATTTAGAAAATAGAAACTCTCAGACTCTCATCATATAATTTAGAAAAGTTAAGTGACATTTAATACAGTTAGATTTATATAAATTGATCCTGAATAAAAGATAGCTATAGAAGTCAATGTAACAAGATAATATCTATATGAAACTGTGATAGCAATGTGAAACTCTTCAATATGGTCAACATGACCTCCTGTTTTCGCATTAAACATACATTATGCAAGAGCTAAATCTGTCTGTTGCATTTCTTTCTTTAGGCACGAAATGTTATATAACCTATTAATTAGACATTTATTAACATGAAAAAACCTTAATCAACTCTCAATGTCATCGCTAGTCTGCGATGTTTGTTGGATTAGGTTCCGATTTGCTGTTCGACTTCCATTCGTGATTTAATCATGAAATGGATAATCGTGACTATGTTTGTTATTGTACCGACTTTAGTAATTCAGAGTGGATCAATTTGACTAAAATTTTCAGCAAATTCCCTTTACATTATCTAGTTTTTAACTATTATAGTGAGAACTGCCATCTCTTTATCTAATGTATTTTTAAAATACAAATGTGAGAAAGGTATTGGGTAATGAATCTTAAAAAAACTTCTAAAAATTTTGTTTTGTTATTTTTTTTTCTTTTGACACACAAAATGCATTTGTGTTTCAATTGATTGGATAGAAAAAAGGGGATTGGGGGTTGTTTCACTGAACTTACATGTATTTCAATTTCACAATGGCATTTGTAAAATTATACTAAAAGCATCTACATTTGTATCCAAAAAGTCAGTACCTAAAGTGCAACTTAGAGGTACCCAGTTAGAGATTTTTAACAATTCACAGATGTCAGCGTAACTGAACAACAAAAATCAGATAAACACATAAAATCAAAACTGTTCACTTCACAAATCTATTATACACTATTATACACTAAGCAGAAAATTAGCAACATCAAACCTTTTCAAGGTACATGTATTTATGTAACGAAGCTAAACTCTGAGTTCACCACTCTCACCCAATTAGAATCAAAGTTATCGTTTTCCAAATTAAATTGCTTATCTCTGCTTATTCTTAGTTGACAATGCTAATCATCGAAGTCAGTCAACAAGGCATCCATCAAATAAATACATACATGTAACCTACACTAAATTTGGGCATTCTAGAAGTAAAGTTATTGTGTTCCAAGGTCTTTACATAGCCTATGCAAAAAATGCTCATCATCAAACCTGATCAAGATATTGATGGAATTAAAAGTATACAATGGATTTCATCCCTCTCACTTAATTTAGAATCAAGTGTCCCAAAACATCAACTAATGAAATTACTTATATATCTGCTTATCCTAAGTCAAAAATGCTCATCAATGAACTCGGCCAAGTGATTCACCTAAGTACTCCAAGTTCAAGCTTTCTCTAGCTCAATTAATTGCAGAGTTATTCACTTATTGTGTTCCAAAAAGTGTGGAGAACGGATGAAAAAAACATTTTAAAAATCCTCTGCCCAACATAAAACAACACAAAACATGGCTTCATTTAATTAAATTTGCATGTAAATGCACTATAGTAGATTAATCCAGTAAAATTAACGAAAAACTGGGACAAAATTTTTGAGACATCAGTGAAATTCACCATAATAAAAAGAAACATTTCCTTTTTATTAAAGGAGGTAAACCTCTAACTCAATATCATCCATAATATTTGAAATTAAAAACATGAATTAGCATTCAATATTGAACAATTTCAATAAATTGTTATCTTAATGTGTAAAAATATGAGTACCTAATATTCAATATTTAAGACACTTGTAATGAACATTTTAAAAGCAGTACACGACATTGTGTACTGTGGACATAATGATTCCAAGCACCATTGTAATGAACAGAGAAAAACATATACAATAGGACAATGCGGAAATAATTAGAATGGCTTATTTACAAATGACAAAACAAGCCAACAGTGAGGCTGATGTCCCCCGCCGAAATAGGAAAATAATTAGAGGACACATATAAATTTATCACAAATTATCTTTTACAAAGTATTGAACAATCAAACAGTATATCTTTACTTATAGTCTAACAATCAAAGTAGGAGAGTTATTGTTTTCCAAAGTCTCGACCAATCAAATTGCGTATCGCTCTGCTTACCCTGAGCAGAAAATGCTCATTATCAAACTTAGTCAAGGTATTACTGTAATGAAACTATACACCAAGTTTCATCAATCTCACTTAATTAGAACTAAAGTTATCGTGTCCCAAAGCATCAACCAATCAAATTGCTTATCTCTGCTTACCCTAAGCGGAAAATGCTCATCTTCGAACTCCATCAAGGCATTGACCTAATCAACACATACACCAAGTTTGAACATTCTAGCTCAATTAGGAAGAGAGTTATCGTGCCCCAAAGTATCAACCAATCAAATTGCTTATCTCTGCTTACCCTAAGCGGAAAATGCTCATCTTCGAACTCCATCAAGGCATTGACCTAATAAACACATACACCAAGTTTGAACATTCTAGCTCAATTAAAAGTTATCGTGTCCAAAAGCATCAACCAATCAAATTGCTTATCTCTGCTTACCCTAAGCGGAAAATGCTCATCTTCGAACTCCATCAAGGCATTGACCTAATCAACACATACACCAAGTTTGAACATTCTAGCCCAATTAGGAAGAGAGTTATCGTGTCCCAAAGCATCAACCAATCAAATTGCTTATCTCTGCTTACCCTAAGCGGAAAATGCTCATCTTCGAACTCCATCAAGGCATTGACCTAATAAACACATACACCAAGTTTGAACATTCTAGCTCAATTAGGAAGAGAGTTATTGTGTCCCAAAAAGTGTGACGGACAGACAGACGGACAGACAGACGGACGAACCCATTTTAATAGTCCCCTGCTTTCTTCGAAAGGCGGGGGACAATAACAATTAAACATGTGTAGAATGGAGTATGAATTAAGTAAACGACAGTCATTCTATTTGGGATGTTTGCGAATAGAAATTACAATAAAATTTGTAAAGATAACCAGGTCAATGGTGGAAATAAGCCCAAACAGCAGTTATGACTCAACAGCAGCTTATCTGAAATTAGAACTTGGATGTTGACCAAATTTGATAAGGATCCTTTATGCCTTCAAAATACATGTACATGTATCTGATCTCTGTCATGTTTACAAGCTTGAATAATTCTGTTAAAAACGATTACCTCGATCACATTCAAAAAGTTTTTAGAAAACGGGGCTAGCTCTGGAACAGAATGTTGTAGAATGCTTAATGTTTATACAGTTTGTAACCTAATGACCCATACACAAATCGATTCAAGAGTGTAGCCCTATCCCATTCACAAGGTTTTTGAAAGAGGCGTAAATTTGGAACATTGAATATCGATAGGCTTCGTACTCTTATTTCACACCAAACTTGAAACAAATCCGTTAAAATATGTAGACTATATCGCAAAAGCTGTATATCAATCGGGTTAGTCCTCTCATGACCACAATGCTTCACACCAAATATGAAAAGAATCAGATTGAAAGAGGGCAGAATGACAGGTTGAC